AGGTCACGAACCTCAACCCGTCTGACGTTTTCCCAAGTTGGCTTCGTTGGGAACCCTTCAATGTCGGTCTCCATGGGATCCAGGACCTTTTCGAAGCGGTAGACGACGTACTCGGACAGGAATTCGCGTGCGCTAGCGTCCGTCATCCGTTCGCTTCGAAGGTCCGAATATTCCACAAGTCTTCTCTCTCGCAGCTCGGGAGGGATTCTATCCCGTGGGGGTTGTATCGGCACCTGTTGTACTGGCATTTGTTGAAGCGGCACCGGTGGCGGCATGTGGTGGATAATTGGTCCTGGGTGCGCTGGGTGATGTGCCATGGGAGGGCGGGCGACAGCAGCGGGAGGCATTTGACCTCCAACAGGCCTGACGGGAGGCGGCGGAGGCCCGGGGTGTCTGACAGCGAATGGTCCCGGTACCTGTGCCCGGCTCGGCGGAGGAGGTGGAGGAGGCGGCGGTCCATGATGATGCGGCACCTTGGCTCCAGCCGGGTGCGGTGGTGGAGGAGGAGGAGGAGGTGGAGGTTGACCACCTCCCCCTGGCGCGAACTTGATAACTCCAGGTGGGAGTGCCATGTTGGTGTTGAGCAGCAATAGGGGATTTTGAAGATGGCGATGCAGCTCGGTGAGTCAGGGGAGAGAGGTAAGGGTTGGTTATATGGACTCTTCAAGGCCGTGGCCAACGTGAAGCAAAAGTGCAGCAGTAAGAAGGGACTAATGTGCAAAACCAGTTGGCTCGTTCAGAGAAAGAGCACAAAAATGGTCCCGAGCCCCGAGACGTCGACAGTGAAAGTGAGGCGAACCACTTTCCTATGGGAGGGTGTACGAGACAAGAGTCGAGGGATCAAGTGGGTGTGGAGGTGCGCTGTCTTGTTGTCTTTATCTTTGCCAGAGACGACAGACACACAGCGCAGGACTTTGCTCAACGGCGACGGCGACGTGACACTTACAGCCACAGTGACACTGATCTAGGCAGCACAAGGTTGCTCAGGTCTAGTGTCGGACCTGGGAAACGGGGGGGCGTTTTCATTATTCGGAAGCAGACGAAGATACAGACGGAGAAATGAAGAAACGGCCGTCAGGGACTCCGTTTAGTCTTTCAAGCAGAGCGATAACTCTCACCGCCTGGAAGACAACTTTCTCCTGCCATTATTCAGCCTATCACTGGCTCTGCCACGCCACCTCTTCCATCAGCCATATTCTTCCTGGCGAGGCAACCACTATTATCCTTGTCGGTGAGATGGTGGGCATTGCCGCTCACCTTGTCTCGGCAGCCTGGTCTCCGCGAGCGGCACTTCCCACACCTGGGATTCTCCAAGTGAGATAATCCTCCGCAATTCAAAGGATCCAAGGTGCTTCTCAAAGTGTTTGAGCCTTCAGCTGTGCGGCCAGAAATTGAGCCAAGCGCGTACGTACTCGAGGCCTGGAATCGATCACGACTAGTCTTGGAATCGGTACAGACCTTTGGTGTCGCTGAACACTGGCCAGGTTCCTCGAGCAAAGTGCAGTCATCAGACTCAAAACAACCCCCAAAAAAAACCCTTGAAGTCTATCTTTGAGCATCCTTGCAGACTGCGACTACATACCCCGCAACCAACGGGGTCGCTTTCTCCCGCGACGAGGAAAACGAGGTGCGGGAGGGCGCGTCGCGGCATGATCACTTGGGTTGCAATGGTCCGCAAACGAGGCGACCGGCCAGCTAGACCATCATTGATTTCAGACTCTCACCGAAGCTGGCTGTGCCTCTTTTAGGGATTGCAGGGGTTGCGTATGGCTTCGTGCACTTTGCGCGGGGTGATGGCGAATGGGTGCAGCCCCAGCCTGGCACCGCCCCAATCGGGGCTAGAATTCTTACACTTTTTGGTACTTATATCAACCATCACTCGACACCCACTAGGATTCCGTCTTGAGGCCTCCAATTGGCAGAAGAGGAGCATCAACTGACCAGATAAAGAAGCGAGCATTAACGTGCATGAGCAGTTACACGATAGTGGCTTTCCCCGCCAATCAAGCGTGCACGAAACAATATCCTGGTCTACTTTATACCTCTGCTCGGTCATAGGAGCAGAAGTCATTCACCCGGCGACCGCGGTCGGTCAAGAAGCCAGTGATGCACGTCTTGCTGCATTGCAACGCAGAACGCCCGTCATCACCGGGACAAGAGGAAGCTCGTTGACGCGATTAAACACGGATACTGAAATTCGGTACCGCCTTCGGTGCCGTGAGACGGCATCAAGAAGGTAGTCGCCGTGGCGCCAGGTTGCACTTTGCAAAATGCAGTTCCAGTCGCAGGACTCCTCCGTATTGATTCCAGGGACGGCTGCCCATGAGACAGACTAGAGAAGCGGGAATAAGGATCTCACAATCTTGTTTTGGAGACTCAGTCTGACAGCTAGCCTATTCCGTCATTTTCGATGATCCGGCTTACAGCCCCAAGGCTTCGAGTCCGCCCACCTATCAAGTCGTCGATTAATACCAAGCTCCGTCAGGGACTGGCGATGGGAGGATGAGACAAGATGACCCTCCGTCTCAGTCGCTATCGCAGAGCCGCAGCTTGATAGTTGCCTAACGGGAACTTATTCGCGACGGTCGGCTTGGCTCCCGGCACCATCCATGTTGACGTACAACTTTGGATGAAGTTATGTATCTCGACCCGTTCTTCCCGAAGATCATCACGGCAAGACAAGGAAGTTCCTGTTTTGAAATACGACGTCTACTGAGGCAGACCACCTCCGGATGCCGGTCCAACTACTTTGGTTCGAGACCACAGGCCATGAGCTATTTTACCGTGCCACGTTCATCGATCGTGATGGTAAGGAGTGGTGTCTGTCGTCAGTTCAACGACTTGTCTTACAAACGGCGCAGAAAGCTTCATGCCCAGGGCTATCTTGAGGCTCGTCATATTCCACAACGGCCGATTTCACATCGCACAGAGACAGCCACAGTGTTTCCACAGGGCTCTTCAACGCCATACACACATAAATGGTCTTTTGCAGTGGGGTGGCCGAAGATGCAACAGACCGAAAACAGAGGTATCACAGGCCAGGCATACCAAGCCTGCGGGCTGTTGCTGTACAGTACTTACACAGCAGGCGTCTCTCACCTGCCGTTCGACATCATCTCAACCCAACCATCACACATGTACGATGCGAAGGCCCAACTACTTACTCAGGCCGGGCGCTCAAGTAAAAATGTCCTGTTCCACCGAGGTAAACTTTGTTCACGTACCACGCGCAGACGGTTGTGAACGGCTTCATGACAGGCGGGAGGGAGCATCATCGCCGTCATACAGGATTAACGGTTCTCGGAAGACAGTTGGAAACTCAAAAACGGTTTCTGTCCATCACTAGTTCTGTCCTCCGTGCAGCCCTTCGTCATCATCGTTCCACTTGTCAAAGATGAGAAGACCCATCCGAAGAACCCGACTCTAAGCCAGTCTCCAAGATCGTTCCTTAATCGAATCGACGAAGCGGTTTTCATTCCGCAACACGGGTCATGCGCTGACGCTGAACCCTCCCTGCAGCGAAAAAAGTACTTGGCTTCCAATAACTACGACATGCGTACACCCACCCTATCAGGCTGCGCCCGGTCTAAGTGCCAGCGTCGTAGATGGCGCAAAATCTTTTCCAAAATGCATTTTTCCTTCTGAAGTGTCGTTCAATTTACCGTTGCATTATCTCAAGAGGCTAGAGGTTCGCAAGTTGCCTTGCAGTTGCCTCGTTGCTTGGCTTACACGACTATTGGGATTCGTAAGATTCTAGGTTCCGATTCTTTACGGGTTTTTTTTGCACAATGTGCCTTTTATTTCCTTCCTCGTCAGATTTATGTTTCTTTGCTGAGCGCGCAGCGGCGCGGTATGGATGACGCCCAATGGAATACCCGCAACGAGTCATCTGGTGCCTGGACAGCGTGTCTGTTGCACTGCATTCGATGATGACCGGTTTTGCATCCGAGGCAAATGTGCTCTTACAGAGGAAGAGGAAGTGAAGCCTTTCAACAAGGCATGTTGAATGACAGTGGCGTGCAAAAGCTACTCTGAAAAACAGCACATTCAGCCTTGATTTCGGCGGCCCTGGGCCTATCCCATCAACCTATGTCTTCAGGGCTGTTCCCGGCGACGCCATCAACGCCATGTCTTATTTCTTGCCCAACAACTGGATGAGCTCTCCCGAGGAATTTTGCAAGCTCGTCACGATATGAACTATTGTAATCACAGTGTTCTCATTGTTCGATTCCTAGATTGTCCATCCTTTTGCCTCTAGCGATGAGTGTGATGTTTGGGTCACTGAGAGCATTCGGAGACACATCTTCTGACTTTATGGCCCCCTGTTTCTCTTTCTTTGACGGCACTATTCACTTACACTTGTGCTGGCAAACGCAGTCGACTGAACAACGAAACCAGCCCGGTCCCTTCATGGTTTGTTCTCCAGAACTGTTCCTTTCCTTTCTGACTGCGGCCCGAGACCTAGCCGTCATCCGCATGGTGCTTGATCCGACGACAGACCCAGAACCATGCACTCCGGAATCATAACGCCTTTACACGTCGGTTTTCCGGTAAACGACAGTAGATCATGCTCTATCATGCTGTCAATTCTTCTTTCGACTAGATCCGTGACACGCGTACACCGCTTTTTGACATGGAGATACGGATCCAGGGGGCTTGAATCACGACATTAGCGTCGGACGATTCCTATGACTAGTCATACCGACCTCGACGATCCGGTCAAATAGGGGCTACATAGAATGAGTGTGCGGTTGTACGTGGCCTCGAATGTTGCTGGTTAGTGGTCTTGGCCTGGGTCTGGATCGGAAGATGCTACCACCGAGTCGCAGGTGGTGCCTCCGGCATCGAATGACTGGTGGGCGGGCTTGAACGAAGGTCTGGAACTTATCGGCATATCTTTGGGGTTGTACATTCATGATGCAGAGGGACAAAATCGGACGGTCAGTTTGGTTTTTAAAGCGGCAATTCTTTTAGATCAGGTTGGTACTGTGTTCCAATTATTACCAACGTGACTCTTTCCAGGCCCCTGGAATTCTGAGTCGTTTCTGCTTCTGGAGATACCCGGACTTGTAGAGTTTCTTCGATTGCCTTCTCTCGAACCTCTCGTGGTCGAATCTCTTTGCATAATCAAACGAAGTCCGACGATCTGCCCAGTCTCCAACCCAATACAGGCTCTTCAATATGTCGTCGAAATCGTAGTCTCTTGCCACTGAGTCTTGGTATGGCCAATCATCTTCGCTGGAGACCTGCCTATTTGGGGAGTTCTTCCATGAAATATGTTGACGGCGGATATTTTTGTCCGCTTCTTCCGACCAACGGGCAATGAACACAGGAGGACGTTCCCAGGAGCCGAAGTTCCTAAACTCTTGTCTAACCTCGCTTGCTGGACTATCGGGTTCAACCCAACGGCGTTGAATAGGAACTTGGAACCCGCAGATGATCTTTAATCCCAGAATCTGGGGCCAGGCGTCATTTGCACGACCTGGGTATTCAAAACCAAAGCGATCCTCACAATAAGCTGGCTCCCATCTTAAATATTCCACCATAACAACCCCAGCTGTCTTCTGCACACTAAGCCAGCATGATATCGTATACTCGACCTCTCGCTGGCATCTGGAAGAGTAAAGCATCATACAGAACGAAGTACACCACGCAAAGTCATCGCCCTCAAGGGGAAGCCCGCCGGCGCTGCACAATCTGTGAATGTCGACGCCCTCGCTGATAAGAGCACAGAAAATACTGGTCCACGAAGCCATGGTTTGGCTGTCTGGAATCCAAAGATGCCCATGGACCGCATCATCCCGGAAGGCATCGACTGCTGCGTCCCACGCTGCATTGAGTAGAGAGTTTCTTTCCATCTTGTCAACTTCGGAGGCTCGTATTCGCTGATAGTAATAAAAGAAATGCGACCGCTCAAGTCTCAAGTAGCGAAGCCACTGCATCCGTGTGGTGGCAGGAATGCCCATCGAGAGGAAGACATCATCCAGGTTCGACAGGCGTGAACATTTTTCAAATTCTGTGCCTCTCAATGGATGAGTGTACGAGATCACTTGACCTTCGCCAATGATGGGTCTACAGAGACTATAGATGTTGTCAGTATTATTGTAACTGGGTTCTAATCATAGGTACTTACTCTTCTCCAAGACACTGTTGCAAGTTCTGGCTGGCTAGAAAGCGGCAAATTTCTGGCTCATGCAATGAGGCGACAAACTTATTCGGTTATTATCAACTTCTGTGACGCGCGGAGATGAAAAGGCAAACCTACCTCGAACAATGTCATGCGAGCCACGAAAGATGTGGCCAGAAGCATCTGCTAGAGTCCCGATAAATCACCACGTATAATGGTAGTTCGGAGCTTCGAGAAAAGCTCAGGATGGGTTTCGGCTGAAACATAGTGCCGTAGGCTCAAATAACAGGAGACAGGACTCAGTGTATCGAATCTCCAACGAAATTCAATCCGGTAAGCCCAGCCCCGAACACCAAGCGAGTATGCTTTGGACTCTTTCACATTCACCAGCCCATCTTCGTCACGCGAACGCAACGTTTTCGTGGTTTTGGTTACTTGCACTTCACCAAATATACCGACTGCTCGAACAGCTTCGCGGCGAGATTCTTCCACGTCAGAGATTGTGTCTGGCCGGATCAATTGAAGCGAACTTAGACTGGCTCCAGGAGTCAGGGCCGCTGATAAAGTGGTCTTAGTGGCGTGCTGAGGCAGAAGTAACTGCTCCAAGATCTCACAACGCGAGCTGCGATGGTTGAAGGTCAACTTAGGCTTTCAGTCCATTCGGTAAGCCTGGGAAGGTACTGAAAATGTCTCCGTAGTCATCATGTGCTGCAAGTGATTCAGATCTTCTTCCAAGCAAGTGCTCAATCGGGCTATGTCATCCTTCTTTTCTAGGAAAGAGAACCCCACTGTATGAAGAGCGCGCTTCTTGGACGCCCTCCTCTCGAGCTTGGTCACGATGCCATGAAGTTCCACGAGTGTTGACTGTATATCTCGCAAGACGCAAACGCCCCAACTCTCCATCAGTCCAGAGCACCGGCGGCCCGCGTCACTACCCTCGAAGTTTTTCATGATGGCGCCACATATGGCCTCGACCCGCTCGACTTTGAGCGCCAGACGGTTGATCTCGGACGAAGCAGATCGATACGTGCCGATGACTCGCTTTACCCTCATTGCCGAGTCTATAAGTTTTAAAGAGAGTCCGACGATGCCGATTGCTGCCTTCATCGTGGGCCACGACTCGCCTTCGAGATACACTACCTACCTTCGTTCAGAGAATCGTAAATGAAGCAGTTGATATGCTGAGTATCTCTTTCAGTCGTGACGACGGGTGCTGAGGGGATTGCCTGATGGCACATATGCGTGTCGTCTAGAGGCTGCAGATGGCCAATGGGGTGGGCGCTGCATGAGGTCCTCCAACGAGATGCCAACAGAAGCACAGGGGTGAGAGGCCGCCTGCTTCTTGGCCCAATGGTCACATCCATTGCTGGCATTGCCGCGCTCGCAAACACAGCCTCCCGCCACCTCCATAGGCAGAAGTGGCAGCACATCTGACCAGTTCGTGGCCCCTGACCCAGAAATGAACTGACTGGTCTAGGACGCAAAGAGGAACGAGGGAGGCCTCAAAGCAGGGTAGTATATGTATATAACCAGGTTTATGCAATTATTAAGTTTGTAGCTAACCAATCTACCCCTAAAGTGTGTACTAAGAACGTCTAATTATGTAGATCCAACTACTTTATGTGCGTCCTCTATCCTTCTCACCTTCCTCAATTATGTACTCAAACGTAGAAATCCAACGGCAAGTTCAGAAACTTGCACTGCTCCAAATCCTTGAACCCTCTCATCATTTGCTTCTCTACTGGCCAGTCAATGGATCTCATACTCAAATTGCCTTTCATCGACGGCTCCCAAGGCCCGGACTTCTCAAAGGCCTCCAGCGTGGAGTTGAATCCCCTAGCTCGGAGGAAGTCCTTGTCAGGATTTGGGTCGTACGTCCTCGCAAACGACGTAAACGTATCAACGAGATACTGCTCCCAAGGCAAGTCGTACTCATCTCGGAACGGCAGACGCTGTCGTGCGAGATTGCCGAACAACGACACCAGCTCTCCGGAATGGCATCGTAGGTTGTCGGTGGACGACTCCGGGTTCCCGTTCGGATGCTCCTTCGACTTTGGTGCCTCACAGAGATCGAGCCGCGGCCATTCTGGTGTCTGATACGTCCGCTCAAACTCGTAGTAGTACACCTTCGACCCCAGCACGCCGCTTTCGAGGCCCGCGTACACAGTCGCCTGGTCTATGCAGCGAAACATGGCATCTGTGGCGAGTCGAGCGCCGACACCAAACGCTTGCCTCGTCTTGTTCGTTGTCGTATTCAATGGGGGGAATAGATTTCGCGGCGGGTCTGGAAGGCCTTGAGAAGTGAGCCACAGGGTGGTGTTCGGGACGGTGCCATTCTCGGGAAAGATGAGAAACGCAAGACCATCCTCGGCGGTCGTTCCCATCATTAAGTGGACGTCCATCTTGTCACCACTGAGCTGCAGCTCATTCGACGTCAGGTACTTGCCATCCACGACCATATAGCGAGCTCCGCGGTTGAGCTTCTCGACTGGTACTCGACGGAGACAATCAACACGCGACCGGTTGTTGGTGCAATTCGTGGCGTTGAGAATGGTGTTGCCGACCACTTCCATCGCTTGATCGATTGTGAAGTACTTGGCGTACGAAGCCCCATACGTCAGTCCGCCTAGGCTGCTCATGGGAATCGCTGCTGCAAACTTGCCCTTTGCCTTGGGTGACGCCATCAAAGCGCGAACAGAAGCGCCCCCAGCAGACTGGCCAAAGATTGTGATTCTGGCAGGGTCTCCGCCGAAGTCCCTAATATGCTCCAGGACCCAGTCTAGTGCTACTATCTGGTCGGCGAGGCCAAAATTGCCATTCGTCACGTTGTCGTCCAGCGCAAGGAACCCGAGCGTGCCCAGTCGGTAGTTGATGGTGACAACTACAACATCACCCCGCGAAGCAACATTCCCCCCATCGAATAGGGGGTCGCTGCCAAAACCGCTGGTGAGAGCACCTCCATGAATCCAAAACATGACTGGCCGAAGCCTCTTATCCGTTTGTCTGGATCGTGGCAGGTATGGCGTGTAAATGTTCAGAAAATGGCAGTCCTCGCTGCCGCCGAACCCCTGATAACACGGAGAGCCGAATTCGAGGGCAGACACATTCTTCCCACCAGATCCTTTGTACAACTTGGGGTAATCAAACCGCCTAGTCTGGGATGCGAATCGCAGGCCATGAAAGCGGAAGCTGTTCCTGTCGCGAAAGCCGAGGGTGTCATCGTTGTTCGAGTTTACCATCACCTGCCACCGCTCGCTTGTATCTTGGGCAACGCCATTGGAGAATGGTGCTGAATGAGTACACAAAGCTGGGAGCTTGTCGGAGGCGCTGGGAGAGGATACGTTGCCCTTGGAGCTAATTGCTCTGGGGTTGTTGTCATTCTTTGCGGTTGCGATCCAGATCGCAGACACGTTCTTTTCCTGGTAATCGAGGATTGCTAGGAGTCTTTCGGTGCTATTGGTCTCCGGAGACCAGAGCAGCTCCCCGAGCTCTCTGCAAGTAGCATTGGCCTCATCGAAAGAGAGACCCTCGCCCAAAAAGAGTGCGCTGAAGTTGGCCGAAGAGCTTTGCGTATCTGGGCAACACCTCTCGTCAACATACTGGATGTGTCTGAGGAAAGATCACTTGCGGCTCACCTTGAAGATCGTTGTCTCGAAGGATTGTAATGTCCGTCTTCAAGCCTTGCGGCGACGGTGCGCACGAAGCAGCTGCAGCTAGCAAGGCGATCAGAGCGGCTCCCGCCCACATGACGTCTTACACCGAAACCGAGATAACAACTCGCCGAACACGCGCAACTCCTATGTACAATCATGGAGAAAAACACACGACACCTAAAATCAGGGGACCAAAGGAGCGGAAAAGTGTAGTTGTTGTCCTTAAGAATAAGCTGAACAGACTCGAGTCGTGCGCGCCATCTCTTCCCAACGAACAGGACTATCCGCTCAACTTAACCCAACCGGACTGCCCATTGCGCCGAGCTGCGTGAGGATCGGAATCAGGCCAAGGAACCAGGAAGCAAAGGCGAGGCAAAGGAAAAGTCGGCACGGTCCGGCTAGGCGTCCATGTCAACCAATTTGGGTAGGGCAATTGTGGCCTCTGCTGGGGGAGCTATCCTATGCTGCTTGGGAACACGCGAAGAAAGCTTCCCTGCAGCCGCCCTCGACATCACCTTCCATTCAAGGAACAACGCAGAGAAGAAGGCAAAGATGGTGTGAACGGTCAACAGGGAAGTATGATGGACGTGGGCACTCTTGGGGTTTTAGGCTGTCTGCATGAGATCGCCCGGAGGCCGATGCTTGGTCCGAGCCAGGGGACTGCGGAAAACGCTCAGGTTTCAAACCTTGGGCTTCTCCAGCGCGCCCGCGACATGCTGCGCTCCCAGTGTCTGGTAAGTGGGTTCATAAGCTTGAACGACTTTGTTTCTGCGTTTATTCCACCTCGGAGGCTAGTTCGCCTCGGTGTTGGGCAACCTCGGAAGACTTGCTGTCTCGCTGGCAGCCCACCACCACCAACACCATCCGCCCCATTTTCCTGCCGATTGGATATGTGACGTCCAAGACAACACACTTCGGGTGACAGGCGAGTGCCGGTTGTCCGCTTCGATCAGGGAAAGCTGGCGAACTCGGAGCGGCCGGCGGATGGACTCTGCAAGACTTGCCGTATTCCGCCGCCCACTCGGATCGGTGCGGTAAAATGCTGTAACACGCGCCTAACGTCCAAGACTGAGCGAGCGTAGTGGGAACGGCTGGGAACTCGGCGGGAGCGAGGTGAGTGCGCGGTGAGATGAACGACACTGCAACATGGTTTAATCCACAGCGATCTCGTTCAACCACAGTTTGATCGTTCCACATTTTACAGTTTCTGCAGCATTGGCCAAGGCCTAGAGCACCTTCACGAAACGGACTGTTGGGTCCTTCTCCTTCGATCTGATGCTCGCTTACCATTGTAATCTTTGGAGCTTGTCCATGCGGATGAAACTCTCCATCCAGCAGGAACGGCTTACATCATTCAAAATAAGCTTGCTTCATCCTCTCTTCCTGACTCACGGAAGGTGGGTGGGCGGGAGACGGAGGCTCAGCATTGATGGGACAGCTTTCAGTGTATCACATCGACGACACGTCAGGTCAAGACAGGTTGTGTGTCGGATGAACTACGGTGTCAAATTCCTTTTCGTAACTGCCAATGGCTAAGCAGAAGTCTGCGACTCTTTGCGGCTCATCTCTGTAACTCCTCCGTATGGCGGTGATGCTTGACAAATGGCAGAAGCCAGGTTCTCTTCTTGATCCATTCCTAACTTCCAAGGTGCAAGTGCCCAAGACACTGTCCAACGCTTGGTATCCCAGGTACATCTTTGTTTTTTCCCTCACGCATTGGGGGGATGCTCGCCCTTGCAGCACTCGAACTTGTCCTTGCTGCCGATCCAGAAGAAGAGGTTCCAGTCATCGCAGTCGAGCATGCCCTGGATCTCCATCTTGCCATTGGTGCCGCACTCGTTGAACCCCTGGGTTAGGGTGGCCCAGATGTCGGAGTTGCCCACGACCGTATCGTTCGCCTGAACCGAGAGGTGGGGGTGGCCGACGGCGTAGAGGCAGCTGCCGCTCTGGGCGAGCTCCAGGTAGTGGCGGCCCTCGAGGTCTCTCTTCTGGATGGTCCACTTTCCGTGGTTGTTGTACCAGAAGCGGATGAGGTCCTCGCAATCGCCGGGGTTGGCGCCCTTGCCGCGGCTGGGGTCCATGCAGGTCGGGCCGACGTACTCGCAGACGCGCTGAGGCTTCGGCGCGAGGTCGAACTGGAGGCGCTTGGCGAGGGAGTTCTCGGTGCCGGCGTCCTCGCGGTCGTTGATGATGGGGAGGTTGCCGGCGAAGGGAGCGGTGTTGTGGTAGTGGGCGCCGGGGGCCTTGTGGTCGACATCCTTCAAGCCGTCGCCGCAGGTGGAGAGCATGGCGGCGTTGACCCAGACGGGCTGGCAGGTTCCGTCCTCGCGCTTGGTCTCGTAGCAGACTGCTCCATCGTAGGGCCGCTCGAGGTTGCTGCAGATGACACCGCAGTTGGGGTCGACGGGCTTGCCGATGAAGGGAATGGCAGTGCTGGAGATGACAGTGAAGGCCATCACAGTGACGGCACCCAGGAGGCGGGACATGGCTGCCATCTTTCAGGTATTGATGAGGGAAGAGAGCGGTGATGAGGACGGATTTTCAGCTCCTTGTGTTTTCTCTGATGGAAGGGGAAAAGCCTTTTGTGAAGTTTGGCCTGTTGTGTGGGAAAAGAGGCAGGGAAAAGGCTCCCATTGGGAAAAGAGGGCTTCTGGTGAAGGTGAATTTTTGTCCCTCGCTTATCTGGTCTGAAGAAGGGCGTTCAGCAACGCATCTTTGGGAAGGAGGAAATTTTCGTCAAAGGGAAGTCGCCCCTGCCTCTCTTGTGTAACCCCGGTGGAAGGTGAGGGGAGGGCACACATTTACAAAGGCAAAAAGAAAAAGGAACTGCTGGTGGCAGTAAACTTCAGAAGCAGAAATGATCATGATTTTAGCGGGTAAAGCAAAGCAATATGCGTGGTGAAGCTTGTGTAATTTCGTCGCGATGTTCATCTACCAGCTCTGGTGTTGCTAAAGACGTGTGAGTGATGTGCCAGTCTATCTATGCCCAAACTCCAGAACGATTTCCCTCCTTCATGTCAAAACCATGCCCTTCTAAAAAACCAAGTCCTGTGATAAAACGAAGTCCTCCCTGAAAGCCAAGCGCAGTCCCAAGCCATGAAAGTCGTATCCTTTGTGAAGCCATCTATCCATACGGCCGTTACCATTTCTTCTCAGGTGGGGAGAGGTACCAAAGGATGTAGTCCTTCTTGTTGTGCTCGTCGTTGGTGACGTTGCACTGAGCGTAATCGATAGCCTCGACATGTCCAGCTCCATCGAACTCATACTTGATGGCAAGGTTGATGACCTTGGCCAGATCGACACTGCCAACAGACATGTCGCTGTTGTTGTAGGTCTTAGGGTAGAGACCAATAGCACAAGTGCCAGACTTGGCGAGGAAGACGTTGTGGCTGGCGTCCAGGACAGTCTTAGGGATGGCGAAGTAGCCAGGCTTGGATCCAGCCCAGTCGTGGATGACCATGCAATCGTTGGCGTCTGCAAGCTTGGGGAGGTCCCAGGGGTTGCCAGCCAGGGGCTTCTGGGCCTCGTCAATCAAGCAATGGGTGGTGCTGTTCTCCTGGTTGACGTAGATGGTGTGCTTGGCAGTGTCTGAGGTGATGGGAGGCTTGGAGCCAAGAGCGTCGTTGATGATGATGGGGACAGTGGTGCCGTTAGCTGAGAGGAAGGGCTCGCATCGAGTGTGGTTGTGAAGATTGATGCCGTTGCAAACAGCACCGTCCTGAGCCGACAGATTGTAGGGGGCGGCGTGAACACCACCAGTGCTGTCGAAGGCCAGAATGATGGCGGCGATGACAGGGTTCATCTGGATCCGCATTGTTGTGTTGTGAGTGGAAGTGATTGAATGGGAAGGTATTGATATTTGTGAGTGAAGGTATTGATGAATCTTGTGTGAATGGATAAGGTGTTTGTGAAAGGTAGAGTGGTTGTGGTGAAAAGGGTTTGAAGAGTGAGCAGCGGGTGAGAGGCGCTTTTATCTTCGGAGGGAGCAGCCTGTGCTAAGCGAGGAGCTAGTGAGTGAGGGCAGTAGAAGATTAAATCTTTTAAGAGAAGGAGCGAATGGTTGGGATGAGTGAAGGTGCTCCTGCCCCTGAAAGCTGCTGAGTTGAGGGAAGGTGCCACGTCGCGGTCTTCCTTCTGGAGGAGTTAGTATTTGAGCCCCACCCAAACAGACTACCGTTTCTGATAAGAAAGTGGTTTACTGGAAGGCTGTGATGAGAGTCCAGTCAGATGAAATCAAGAGCTGAAGTGAAAGAGTTCACTCTCTTTTGTGTTATTAGCACGAGCATCGTTAAAGCCAGCACCCTCCTCAGAGCCATTGCAGGGAGTCTCGATATACAAAGACGGACAGAATAACTAGAATATCCTAATAATCCATCGTCGTTTCCAACTTGATGTGCCTTGAAACAGATTAAGATGTACTGTAGGAGGATGACAGGGTTATCACAAGACAACAGTTATATCTCAGCAATCGGTCTGATTTTCGCTCATTAATAAGTGATATCTACCTATTTCAAAGTGCTCAGTCATCTACAATCTAGACGGAGCAGACGACACGGGGGATCTTCGCAAACTAAGCCTGCCCATTGCGCTCTAAACAAACAAGGTCAATCTTTAGGTCTACTGTAGGACTATCGCGGCACGTTAGGCAGGGGCCTAGGTCCAGCAATCTGTCTCGGTCCGACAATCTGTCTTCTTCCAGCTCCAATTCCCTGGCTACCCTTATTCTGGTTATCGCCGCCGGTGTATCCAGCCCACTGGCTCACGTCCCAGCGGCCACCGATGCCACCACCAATGCCGTCAACGCCATTGCCGGTCGGCACGGCCTTGGCAGTCTCCTGCTGTGCCTCCTCCCACTCACGCTGACGCTGGCGCTCCATCTCCATCTCGCGCTCAAGGAGTGACTTAGATGCCCAGCCGCCAGCCTTAGTGTTAGTCTGGCTCTGTGCGCGTCTGCGGTCCTCAGCGTCCTGCTCAGCGGTGGCGCTCAACTCGCGGGAGTAGGTCTGCCTCGCAGGGGGCTGAACGGGTGCCGCGTTGTTAGCGAGGAACCTGTCAGTTCGGCTTGGCGGAGGTTGCTGCGCGGCCTTGTAGGCGGCGGGGTCCGGAAGAGGTCGGCCGCCGGTGGTGTGGGCCACGACCTTCTGCGGCGGCGGGGATGCCACGGCTCTGGGGTCAGGCAGGGGTCTGGGCGATCTCGGAGGTGGGGCCGGAGGCTCGTCATCCTGTAGGGATTCCTGATGCTGCGTCCATGATGTCTGAAGAACCTCACGCTCGTTCTTAGACCAGGAATCTTGTCGGCTAGGTGTTCCGTCGGACGGCCGGCTCCTAGACCTCAGCCGCGCCTTGGGATCATTGGTGACAGCCAACGTCCTGCCTGTTCGCCCCTGACGCTCAAGCTCGTACTGCCTCTCACGTTCTCTGGCCTTCTCAAGCTCAGCCTCCAGCTCGGCGATTCTATCTGCGCCAGTCTTTTGCGGCTGAACCTTCTGCTCGGCCTGGTACTGGCTCAGGAATTGCCCGCGGAGTCTAGCATCACTGCGGCTTCTAGTGCGGGTGCGCTCTTCGACCAGGCGTTGCTCGGCCTCCTCTTCTTCCTTGCGTCGCTTTTCTTCCGTGAGCTTCCACATGCGCTCCTCCTCCTCCCATTGTCTTCTCTCCTCGTCCGCTCGTCGTTGCTTTTCTTCCACGAGGCGTTGGATGTCCCTCTCCTCTTGCTCGCGTGCCTGTCGTTCCTCGTCTTCCAGCTTCTGGCGCCTGAGGTCTTCCATTTGCTGGCGTTGGCGTTCCTCCTCGGCCTCCTTCTCCTTACGCTTCTTCTCCCTCTCTGCCAGGCTGGGTACGATGGGACCAGCACTAGTGATCTGTCTCCGGCTTCCAAACGAGATTCCGAGGTTGCCCTGACTAGCGCCTCCCATGTAGCCGTACTGAGCAATATTCCAGGCCGGAGATGTGGCGCCCTCATGCTCCTTCCTGCTCCAGCTGGTAGTCGGAGATGTCGGCTTTGTCGGGCTCCATCGACCGGATCCCGAGTCACCGGTCTTGGAGCTTGTCAGATTGGGTCGAGGGGAGCCGAATCCGGAGGCATTGGACAGTCCGCGAGATCGGGTAGGCGAAGGCGTTCCACGTCCGGTACCCTGAGGGCTCATCACACCTCGGGTCTTGCCGCCAATCGGTGTCGGGAATCTGGCTGGGTTCGCGGTGTGGGCAGCTCGGCTGAATGCTCCGAGGCATTGCAGTACTTGGGCCGGGTCTTTTTGTTCGTACAAGTCGACTGTAAGGAATACATCGTGCTCTTGGAGGTTCAGAGGCGGTTGCTTGCAAGCGCGGAGGAAGTGTGAGATGTTCTCCATCTGGACGAAGGGCATCGCGGACTTCTTGAATTTGACCCCGGGCGGAGGCACCGCAAGGTTGATGAGTCTGAGAGTCACATGTCAGTTGGGTGCACCGCTGGAAAAAGCATCATTTTGACCTACTTGCACAACGCCACGCCATCCTTGAGGCTCTCGAGCAAGTCTCCGCTGGGTAGTCTCTCGCCGAGAACGCTCTCAATCCAAGAGCTGACCTCCTTCGCGGCGGCGGGCGTGTACCTCTCTAAGCGCAACTTGCGCAAATCCTTGTCTAATGACGTTACTGAAGCCATACTGTTTCGTTATATTCGCAGGTCGTGAGGACGGGATGTTGGTAGACAGGGTCGATTCGTTGTTTTATGCTTTAAGCGCTTCGCACTCGGGTTCGTAGGTGCGTTTCAGTGACGCGGCGGTTAGGCGCTGACGTCGGCGGGGCTCCGGATGACGGAGCTGGTACAAGATGCTGGAATCCTCTGCTCCGCGCGCGGGCGCGAGTTTGTCTCAGGGTGTTTTATAGACGCAGCTCGATGCAGTCTTTGGGATTAAAGGGATTGAGGAGAGGAAGAGGAGGGCCGACGAAAGGGCGATCGAAATGACTTGCGGGGAGAGGTGAACAATCAATATGTCGGGTGGCAGGGGAAGAATGATTGGGAAACACTGAAAGGCCCGACGAAGACCGCACTTGTACCTTGTTGGTGGGGAAGATTTAATTGTTTATGCATCTCTTCAGCCAGGCGGGAACCTGGATAAAGGTGACAGCGCCTGGGGTCCGACGTGCCCGCCGCGGCCTTGCGGAGTGACGTGTGCGGTGGTGGCTGGTGGGGTCAATGTAACTCTGAAGCGCATTGGGCAACTGCTGTTGGCTCGTTGCAGAAACACAAAAAATACGTGGCTGAGGATATGGCGGCCCAATCATGGTTCAGCCAATAGAGCCTCGGCCGAACTTCCCTGTGGCGGTGCAAATTATTTGAGCTTGACCTCATTACTTTTCCCAAACACCCAGCAACTTCGAGATATTGAAACCATGGGATCCTGAGCGACGAACTTTCTGATTTCGTCTTCCCAACCTCACAGAATAACGCCCAAATGTCTCCAACACGGATCTCGCCAATACTGGAGGCCTGGTATAAGTGGAAGTCGCTCAGACTACCATGGCGCAAGCGCTTCCTCATCGGTCCGTCCCCCCTCACCTCAACCATGGTTCTTCTATAAGAGGCACCGCTTCCTTGGAAACCTTCCATACTAACACGCTCGGTTCCAGGCCGTGACCTGCAGGGCTACACGTACTGGGAGTTCCGCGAACAACGAGGCGACGGACCCGGCCGCTTCCGCCGCATCGTCCACTACCCCCGATCGACGTACCTGTCCGATGTGAAGGTGTCCCCGTTATGGCACCAATGGCTAAGACACACACGTGAGCACCCGCCTTCGCTCGAAGAACAGTCGAGCGAGGCCGTTAGGCAGGAGAGGATGAAGCTGCTGGCGGCGCAGGCAGACGCGCGGTGGGAGGCAAAGCCCAGGGTAATGGACGCCCCAGGGCAGGCAACAGGCCAACCGTTGCCGGCCTTGAATACGGCACAACGTCAACCAATTGCGCCGGAACTGGAATCGGTAAACGCGACGACGACCGAGTCGACCGAGTCGATCCCAACGCAATCAACGCCGAAGACCAGCGCAGCGAAGAAGAAATACGGACACGATCCATGGGAGCAAGCCAAGGGTCCCGGGGAGGCGTGGCAGCCACAGGCGTGGGTGCCGCCGGCGGGGAAGAAATAGAATGGCATAAGCGACGGCGATGCATCTGTATTACTAAAAGACGGGCCCATCTCCGCACATGTATCAATAATTCGATATGCAACCGTCCCACAGCCAAATTTCTCGGTCAAGACGCTTCCAAGCCAAACGAGGTTAAGGTGATCTCGGTTTGCACGTCTCATCTCCGCTGATATTCCAAACGCCAAAAACGCCATCCCATATTGCCCCACGACCCGAACCCAAGCGCCGCGCCGGACTTGACAGACCTAGTGAGAGATGCCGACACTTAATCAGCCTCTTCCTTCTTGGTGTCCCTGTCGACGGCGTTCCTCAGCCTCTCCTCCTGCCTCCTCCAATGGCTTCCCTCCTCGTAGTCCTTGCTTATCCTCAGCGCGCTCCTAAGCCTCTCGCTCTCCTTGATTTTGGCGTCCGCCATCTCGTGTACTTGGTGACTTTTGAAGTGCTTCCGCACCGGACCGCCGCCGCGTGAGTTCTTCTGCTTCTCGAGATCGGCAAGGAGCTTCTGGCGCAGCTCGTCGCATCGGGTCTCAATTTCTTCTTCCTCAAGGCTGGAGTCACCCAAATTGGTTAGCTACATCTGCGCAAGATAAAGAGAGGGGAAAGATAAGCCTACCCTTCGTCCTCGAGGGTATCTCGGAGGTCTAGGACCTTAACCTCGACCTCGCGCTTGCGATCGTGCTCGAGAATCTCCTTATCGGGCTGCCGTTGCTTGTGACGGAGCGAATCGGCGTCTTTCGGAGGGTACGGCGCGCCGTAGTCGCGCGGGCGCATGTGCGCGAGGTTGCGCTGGACGTAGCCAGAAGTGCCGCTGCCGCGAGGCGTGGAGAGGCCGACGTTGTCAGACATGGCGTGTGTGTATGGTGTAGCGAGACTAAAGGCGGCGGTTATCTGGTTGTGATAATATGGGTATCGTGGGAATAACTGCACGTTTCGCTAGATGTATATGTCGATCGATGGTGTCGGAGAAAATCAAGGTTGGGCGTCTCTCTGTACGGAGTACGCGCTGTTGGAGCTGGGGGCTGAGAGGAGAGACGTCACTACAACCTCTGGACCCTTGGCGATACGAAAGTTCAGTTAGGAGCTGCCGTCCCCGAAGGCGGTGAATGGTGATAACAGAGGCGGCGGGGCCGCGGCGGCAGAAAAAAGATGTGACGGTGGGATGGTGGGGTACTTTCTGCTTTGGGCGACAGGAAGACTCACTAAACGATTAAGACTCATCGATGTAAGTGAAAATCCGAGCACCTTCAATGCTGTTTTCTAACTAGAGGTAGATCTGACTGGTGGTTTTCACATAAAACAGTCCCAAAATCTCCTGAAACTTCATAAACGAAATCCAATCTTTGCAAAAACACAAAGTTATTGAGAATGCCGTCCCTCGAAGGTCTCACAGAGGGGCAACCGACCCTGGACGCAATTACCAACGCAACCCAGGAAGCCGAAGAGCTCACTTTTCCCCCAGTCACCAAGGAACACATCCTCAACTGTGCCTACGACGCCTGGTTTCCCAAATATCGCACCGTCTCAATTCGCTCCCGCATCATCAAGCTCTCCCCAGACTTCGTACAGTACATCCGTGACGACGGCATCATTCTCGCCGACGATGACGCCGCCCAGCCAGACTCAAATGAGGAAGAGGAAGAATGGGCGCCTTCATCAAACACATCCGGCGCCCCTCGGAGAAATCAGCATCTCGACGAGGACTCCGACTCCGACTCGGAGCCAGAGGCAGACTTGCGCCCGCCAAACAAGCGCTTTCCGGAGATTCACCAGGAGATCAAGGACCGCATCAAGGAGCTCGGCGGCTCCGTGGCTCCCAAGCTGAACTGGTCCGCCCCCAAGGACGCGGCCTGGATCTCGCCGCACCAGAACACGCTCAAGTGCACCACGCCCAACGACATCTACCTCTTGCTCAAGAGCTCGAGCTTTGTGAGCCACGACCTCGAGCACGCCTTCGACGACACCGTTGCCTCCTCCGCGAACCGCCCCTTCCAGCCCGTCCTCGTTCTCCGCCCCTTCTTCGCGCCGAACCCGGCCCTGGAGTTCCGCTGCTTCGTCAAGCACCGCGCGCTCATCGGCCTCTGCCAGCGCGACTGGAACCACTACCCCTTCCTCGACGGCCTGCGCTCCGCCCTGGTGTCCAAGATTGAGGACTTCTTCGAGGACCGGCTGCGCTTCACGTTTCCGGACGGCTCCTTCGTGTTTGATGTGTACGTGCCGGGTGACAGCGATTCGTACGGCGAGCTGGGCAAGGTGCGGCTGATCGACATCAACCCCTGGGCGCCGCGGACGGACAGCCTGCTTTTCACTTGGGGTGAGCTGCTCGAGTTCAAGGTAACGAGGCCGATATTGGGGTCGGTGGTGAATGAGGAAGCGTTCGAGGTGAGGATTCCAATGTCCGGGAACAGGGGCGACTGGAGCGAGGGTAGCGCGGCGGAGGAAGAGACGACAGACGACGAGGACGCGGACGAGGTCGTTCCTGAGCTGAGGATCGTGGAGAAGGATAACCCCGCGGCCTTCAACTTCAGTACGCCACAGTACTCGGCGCATAAGCTGCCCAAGGAGGTTGTTGACGCCAGTGTGGCGGGCGAGGGCGGTTTGAGGGAGTTTGCGCAAAGGTGGAAGGAGATGACCGATGCAGAGGGCGGTGGGGATGTATGGGAGAATGCTCCATAAGTCGGCGCAATGAGAGCATAGAACAGCGACGTATCTGAGATCCGTTGAATAAGACTCGTGCTCCAAGACTTCATTCCCAATTGATATATCAGCACGTGTAGGGTATACGTGCCCCTATCGACCACAATGGCGTAGGGAGTTACCCTTTGGCCACTTATACCATCTGTAAAAACCGTTGGTTTTTCATAGGGTTGAATACATCGGACCCGATTTTTTTTGCCTGGTGTTTTTCTGTTTCTTTTTATTTCTATCGCCCGTCTTCTTCTACCTTGAGATGATGTCACGGCTTGTGTAGCCAGCACCTTTCTTCCTCTGCCAAAAAAAAAAAGAAAAACAAATTGTCAAGTAACGTATGTTCTGATCGATTTGTACGTGAGATGAAGCATGCGTGCGATCTTGTCCATCAGCATTTCAGAAGAACGATACGTATGAACACCTTCCAATATACAACGTCATGCTCAACTCTCGATCACATTCGGAATGAGGCAAAGGCTGTATTTTATTACGCGTAACCCCCTCTAAGCGTGCGAAAGTTCGCGCCGAGGACCTGCTAGAAGATGAATTGTCACTGCTCAATACGTACGTACACATGAACGTGTTTGGATCTGCGCGATATGAACTAAAGCTCGCCGTTAGCCATCTCACACCCCATAAACGGGGGGGGGGGAACGGAGCTAAGGAAAACAAAGAGGTTTTATTTCTATTCTCATATAGAGGAATAGAAACATAGGAACGGGAAAGGGAAAAAGAGACAAAAAAAGCTCAGACTCGTGAGAGTCCTACGAAAAACCGATGGTTTTTTTACAGCCAATATGGATGGCCAACTCGAACTCGTGGAGTTCCTTTTTTTTATGTTCAAGATGAACCTCTTGACCATGAAGGTCGGAGTGTGCGCACACCTTGAGGCAAGATGCCCCGACAACTCGTCGCAGAAGTGGCCCTCTTAAAGGTGAGAGCCCGCCTTTCCGCCTTCCTAGGAGGAGCACCAACCACCAGGCCAACTTTCCACCAAGCACATGGAACACGGGCAGAAAGAAGGCACGAAAGAAACAATCATTTTTATATATACGCAAGATGAAGGACATATACAAAGGCGCAAAGGGGCACACTTGCTGGCCCATATCCGAGGCGCCTTTCGACGTGGTCCAGTGACGTTGTCGTTAGGGTATCATATCATCAGATACAAAACATTACCATTTACACATCCAACACATGGGTCCGTCATCCAAGTAGCGGCAGCAGCAATCGCCAAGGCCAAAGCAGACAAGAATACGCGGAACAACCCGAGACAGAGTAAGCACTCTACATGACCACACAGCAAGCCTTCTCCAGCTTCTTGAGGATCTTGACGACGATGTCGTCGTCCTGGTCCTGTTGCTGTTGGCCGCCGTGATGCTGTTGCTGGCCGCCGTGGGGCTTGCCTCCGTGGGGTTTGCCTCCGTGTTGCTGTTGGCCACCACCGTGGTGCTGCTGACCACCACCAACCTGCGGAGGCGGCGGCATCGTCGCGTCATTGCCCTGGAGGTTGATGTAGATTCTACCCGCATTCTCCTCCGTCGAGTACTTCAGCCCGAGCTCCCGGCACAGCGCCTCGATGCGCGGCTTGAGCTTCTGCACATGTCCCGTCGAATGGTTGCCCTTGCCGACGATGGCGTGCAGGTGCTCCTGCCCCCGGTCGCGGTCGGCGCGGATGCGCTGTTCAAGCATGCGCTCCGCCTCCTCGACGAACTGGCCGTGCAAGTCGATGCAGCTGCCCGTCACGCGGCCGGCGGCGTTGTTCTCGCGGAAGATGTACTCGGACGCCTGGCGGTTGTAGTCCTCCATCTTCTGGGCGTGGCGCTTGCCCTCGTTCGAGAGCTCTTTGGCGGCGGCGCCATCGCCAGACTGGTAGGCCTGCTGAGACTGTGTGTTGCAGAAAGAGTCAGACAAGACGTTGGGGTGATCGTCGAGGGGCGTGGGGGTTAACGGACGCGCTCAAAACACTGGTTACGCTTGTTGGCTTCCTCACGGGCGAGGTCGCGGAGGCGGTCGTACTCGCGCTCCACATCGTCATCGTCGTTGTCGGCGTGGTGAAACGCTGTTGAACGATCGGTCTTGTCAGCACGGGGGAACTACTCGTACGATACGCAGGAAGCATCGGCGGGTGATTGTTTCCCGCGTTCCCTGTGGCGGTCGCGGTTCAAGCCATAGCTTCAGGGGTAGGAGAAACGCGAAACGGGCGGGGATGCTTACCGCGACCGCCCAAGCGGTTCATGGGAATGGAAGACATATTGGTGTGGATTGCTCAATTGGATTGAGTGTGCCCAAATGAAGCAAAACCTGACGTCAAACGACAGAAAGATGATGCAGTCGGTAGAGGGCAATGCCAAGTCTGGTCGAGACGCGGACGCAGAGGCGGTCAAGACGGCGCTAAACAAGCTTGTTTTTCGCGGGCCTCGGCCGCACAATTATGGAGACAACATCCGGCGTTGGTCCTCATGCTGGCCGGGCCGGCTCCCGCCCCGGACCCGCAACATCGATAACTGTTCACCTATTGCCGCGGAAGGACATGTCCTTGTCTCCGTCCCCGTTGTCCTTGCGGACAGAGCCTTTCCGGCGTGGATCCGGGGCAGAATTCCCACCATGCTGACAGTGCGATCTTCAGGGGAAGCAGCCGTGCGTTGCCACGGCTCAAAGACTCAAAGGCTCTCAGTGGCTGGTTGAGGCTGCAAGCTAGTGTTTGTAAGATACATCAGCGGCCGCTTGGTTCAGTGCGTTTCTCCAGCCATAAATGCTTGTACATGGCAAACCTGCGCAGAACAGATTGCCCTGAAACAAGCCAGACCCAGCGACTGGTCTGGATGGCGGTCGTGGCTGAGGGCGGCACGTCGTTTCACAGCTCCTCGGGTCCATGGTGTTCTAGCCGTCCGAAACCAAACTCGAACATCCACGGCGAGCATGAATACCCGCAAAAGTGAGGGCAAATGGGTGGCGTATCATGGATTTTCCCATTACTAAAGACAAATCGTGTGTGTGATGTGCCAAACCGTCGTTACACAAGAGACAGGCTCAGGGGTAGAATGCTTCTATGGGTCTTCTAGAACATCTCCTCTTTGGACTTCTCCGACCTCCAGTGCTTCCAACTGCAGGACCAAGGCACCCATCATCCGAACTGGCCGATCAATTTGGATTTC